ATTAGTAATCATTTAATTAAAATTGATACTAATTGAATCATAGCTAAAATCAGCTTCAAATTTATGCATGCTGCAAATTATTAAAAGAGTGTTCTCACAATTTCAATATATTGAACTTTTAATTCCAATCTAAAGTGAAACATATTTATGAATGAAATCCATCTAAAAATAATTAACGTGGAATGAATAGAAAAGAAAATGTTAGCACGATTAATTAATCAGTATCTTGTATTGTTTCACTCCCAAAAAAGAAATTAGTATCTTATCTTGTAAGGTTTGACAAGATATTAAAGTCAAATGAAAGCACATATCGCTTAAGCTAGTGGAATTAAATAAAAAGAATTACGTCACACTGATGTATGCATGTAATTAAATAAGATATTGAGTTTGAATTTTATGAATTATAAAAAAATCACATTGTTATGAAAGTTATCTTCATTTATGTTTAATAGAACTTGATGAATTTGATCTCATAAAAAATAATGGATATGAAAACAAAACTTATAATTGTGCTTAATCTTGGCTCAATAGTATGCTAGGTTCTTCATATGAAATCTTGAATTGCGCATATATTATGTTTATTTACTCGTTGAGTTCTCAAATATACACTTTTAAGCAAAGAAAAAAAATTATATTCCAACATCATAGGTGTATTCATGTATCATTATTATTATTTGTGGATCACATGACAACGTATTAACTGAAAACTTTATGTTCAAATATCTAAACCTCAAAACCAGTAGCAGTAGGCAGTAGCTACTCAGCTGAATTATTTCAAATAGAGCAATTAAAAAAAGAAATAAAAATATTTAAAAGAAAAAGAAAAAGATGAAGATGAATTTAGATAAGGGCAAGGCAGAGATAGATGATGATGGTTTCATAGCAGCAGCATGTTAAAGAGGGAATGATATCCAAGGGACCAAAGATTGAATTATTGTGTAGGGCGTGCAAAAATACACACACATGATTGGATCCCTTATTCATCTTTTTAAAAAATGACCACTAGCTTCCACTCAATGCTTGGTGAAGGGTCTTGTCCCGACTTAATCAAAATTAATCCAAATTTCCATTAAGTTTTACCAACTTATTATGGGGCTTAAAATGTGATCAGGGCTCGAAATACCAAATACTTCACACAAAAAAGGGCATGAGATGCAAATTTTATTCTTGAAATTATTTTTTATAAAAATATCTTGTAATCTTGTATCATTGGTATTATATTTGAGTATTGTCAAATTTAATTAGACATAGTTCTCCAATTACAATTTTTTTCATCCACATTGTTCGCTTAACCCTGCTTAAGGAGCTGTTTTCACTTGGTTCAATCATTGTTGACATTTTTTTTATTTTAATAGGAATATAATGTAAATTGACAATAATTTTCTAGATTAATTTAAGTAAAATGATGTTTTGACTTTAAAAATAAAAATATTTTTATACAATTATATGATATTTATTATTTTCAACTAGTTTAATTGCCTCTCTATTATGCATGGTAATCCCCCCCCTACACACATAAAGTGAGTGTATGATACATAATTATTGAGTATTTGGAATCTTATGAAGACAGAAGTTAAAAACATATCAATCTTAAAAAAAGCAAAAGGAGATTAGTGGGAAAAAGAAAAAGCAGGAAAAATTGGGACAAGAGAAGATGTTGTTTTCTCTCTCAATCAAATAAACTTTATTGAACAAAGTTTGGTGCTTTAATGTCTTTGATCCATTGGACACAAATGAATCACTTTAACTTTGTTTGTCCAACTTCATCATCTTTTGTCACATTTTGCCGCCCCCTTATCCCAAATAATTAATTCGCTTTATTTTGTTTTCTTTTCGATCTGTTTTTGAAAACTAATTATCATATATAAATTCAGTCCAAAGAGATAATAAATTCAGTCCAAAGAGATAATAATAGTAATAATAAAAAAATCGAAGAATTTTGTTTAGTTAATGCTAACTAATATAAGAGATGGTAGTGCTTCTTCATTTTCACAAATAATAATAATCCTAATTATTCTTGGTATAAGATCTTTTTACGTGTAGCGAAATTCAAATTCAGATTCTCTATTTTTCTTAAAACTGAGAAGAGGATGTATTTTTAATTTGGATCACTTGGATTAGATTAAAATATTTAATTTTTCTTTCATTTTAAAAATATTATTTTTATTCTATGTGTTATTGGAAAAAAAGTGGTGTTTTAACTAAAAAATAAAAGTTCAAAATCATAGTTATCTACATCGAGTTTGAATGGTTTATATTTCCTCTAAAAAATAAATGAGAACGATATTTGGGTCCCTAGTAAGGCAATTATAAACATTTTGATGTGTCAATATGAAAAAAACCATTACCTTAAAGGACTAAAATGTATATAACTCTCTTCTAAGAGATCCAAATATTATTGCATGGTCATTCTTAAAGAAATGAGGTGTAATTTGTACCTTCAAAAAAAGTTAGATTAAAAGGTTATATTTGCTTTCAGTGACCTTGAAATAATATAACAGGAAAGTTATAAAGTGGATCACGAAATTAAATAGGTAGTTGATATAGGTTTTAATGTTTGTTACAAAAAAAATAAAAAGGCTCTAATGATTTAGTGCATGATATATGAGTTTGAATTTCATAGTCTGCATTTTTTTTTTTGAGTAAAAGTGATTGCAGATAGTATATTTTTAAAGAGATATAGGAAAAAAAGTGAACATATAATGGGCAAGTGTATTAATTCCATAAATATTAAAATTTTAATTTGTTGCATTTGTGTTGTTTTCTTTTTGGTATAATGTCTTCATATTTAATGTATATGATACCTCTTCCTTCTACATATTGTAACTCTCCCAGTTAACTAGGCACGTTTAATTTGTATGCATATTGCATGAAATCTAAAGTAAACTATATATAGTTTGCTATAATTTTTATATTTGATATTAATTATTGGTTTAAAGATATAATTAACCTCACCAATATTAGGCTCAATTTCATTAAGAATAACAAGTTCTAATCATTCTATGCTTTCATCTCACAAATATGGAACGTTTGATTTCCCTTGTTTAAATAGAGAATTACATATAAATCCCTCACAATACAATATAATTAATTATCATAAAGCTTATTGACATTTTAGCATAGTAAAATGACGGCCTTTTCTTTTTCATATATTGTACCTAGTGTCCTAAATTAACCTAACTCAAGTTGAAAGAACTTAACAAAACCTAAACTAATTTGGGTCAAACACCTGTGGGATCCTTTTAGATGACAAGCTCTCCGATTAAGTATTTAATGTGGTTGCATTCTTAGGGTTTGAATTTAAATTCTCTGATTAAACTGGTACAAATTCTTGACAGTTGAACCAAACATTGGGTGGTTTCTTTATTGTTTAAACCGCTTGAACGTAATTCAATAAATACTTGAAGAATACATATAATTGAGACAAAATGATTGATAGAAAACTTTATTGAGAGACTATATAAGAATTGAAGGTCAAACTGTTTAAAAAATAATCAAAGCCAAAAGTAGAAGAAAGCATTGTGGTAGTGTAAGTCATAATTGAAGTATTGTCTGAGCATGCGCCATTGGGTTGGGGCAGACACAAAACATATGTAAGTTTAATAAATGAACACACACACACAACACACTATCATGAGTTTTAGCCAAACACATAAAAAGCAACCAAGCATGACATTTGCTAAAGGAAATCATGTGTTTGTGTTTGTGTGGGTCTTACAAAGAGAAAAATATCAATGACAACTTTTGCTTTTCAAAGCTTTTGTTTTTTGTTTTTTTACCCTTTTCCTTTCCTCTTTTTTTTTTTAACCATTTTTGGGCAGTAAGAACTTTTTTGCACAATGGAATCCACCAAGGAGGACCCATGTTTTATGGTCTTTCCAAATTTTGGTTTTTGGAATCTATAAAGCACCACAACCCCACAAAAATATTGATTTTTCACCGCAAAAAAGAGACTCAGTAATTTTTTTTTTGGGGCTGTAATGAGGAGCTTTAATAATTAAGGCCCTTTAAGCGTGATCTTACATTTAATTATTATGAATAAAAAAATCACATAGGAAAATTAAAGTCTGACTCAGCTATATGCAGAATTGCAGACGAGGGAAAAAAGTCATTAAAACCTTAGCTTAAATTTGTGATTTAGTCATGAATATCAGGTAGTAGTTGCTTTGTGATAAAACTTGTAAAAATCCATCACATGTTATGTTTATTTATTAATAAATTAAATAAAAGCAGTAAAGAAATTTAATCTCCAAACATTTTTATAAGTTTTAGATTCAAGTAAAAATATGAATGTGAATTAAGAAATAATGTTGAGTGAATATTTTTTTCCCAACAAGTTTGAAAGTACATTTCTTCATTTAAGAAGCAATGCATATGAAAGTGAAAATCCAAGAGGGATCTTCCAGGGACCAGGGTCACAGCTAAGGTCATGGTAGCCAAATTTATCATCAATCTGGGTCCCACAAACAGCCTCATCACATTCTTCTCGAGATTCTCACATTCTCTCAATACAATAGCTCACAATTTAAATAAACACGAAAACTTTGTGATTTGACCAAAATGCCCTCAATCTCACAGAATCTTATTGGATTTTCCCAAGCCCCAAGCAAAGCACAAGCATAATCCCTCTCATGCTCGGACAAATCTGATCACCTTATGAGTCACGACTTTACGTTGTGCCTCTTCAACGCAATATAATACAAATTAACACTATAACTTTGTCCTTAATAAATTTAATCTCTCTCTCTCTCTCTCTCTCTCTCTCACACACACACACACCCACCATGCTTTGTTGCTTTTCTCAGTTTTTGCTTTATCCACTGTACTAGGGAAGGGCAGCCTCATATTAATTTTAAATTCTCTTTCTACTTTCTGCACATGTGCATGATTTATACGCAAACTCAATTTCCCATTCTATCCCTGCCTTTGGATTTTCACCTATTATTGGCCCACAAAGCAAGCATTTTTATTTCTTTCTTTCTTTCTTTAATTTGAACATATACTTTAAACTCTGTTCATTTAAAAATTCTCTCTCGGTAAACTTTCAGTGAGGCAAAGCTAATTAGTGCTTTGGGTTGTTGTGAGATAAGATTATTAGGTTGTAGTATATTATTATAGTGTTCTTTGTCCTGCTTCCTGACTTAGTGATAACAGGCAAGCATGCTAGTTCTCTTTATGCTTTCAAAATCTGTGCCTTGTTTCTTCTTTTTTTTCTCCTTTTTGTGGGTCTGAGGGAGATTTTTGGTGAATGTTGTTGCAGAAAGCAAATGGGTGTCTTTCTACTTCCTTGAAAAATCACTGTAACGTTATCAGTTTGTAACTGGACTGAATGGGGACACCAATAACACAATGTCTTCTCTGTTTCATGGCACTTGCCTGGCTTTCTTGTTCTTCTGCAAATGCTGTGCTCTCTCCTAAAGGAGTGAACTTTGAAGGTAACTTCAATTTCTATTAACTCTGTGTCAGTCAGTTCAAGAAATTGAATCCTGAAATGGGTGTCTCTGAAATTTATGTAGTTCAAGCTTTGATGGGTATAAAAGCTTCTCTTGTGGATCCTCATGGAGTTTTAGATACTTGGGATGGAGATTCTGTTGATCCTTGTAGCTGGACCATGGTCACCTGTTCTCCTGACAACCTTGTCGTTGGCCTGTGAGTCTTTTGTTTTCTTCTTCTTCTTTCATTAGACTCAGATTTGAACTTGAACCATTCAGTCCACAATGAGTTTTCAGTGTCAATGAAGATGAAATGAACACTGAAGAATGATTTTAACAGTTAAGCATTAACACGGTGTTGAATCCTGCAGGGGCACTCCAAGTCAAAGCTTATCTGGTACTTTGTCTCCCACCATAGGAAACCTCACAAACCTTCAGATTCTGTGAGTGACACTGATACAATATATCCACCCACACATGTTTCTCGCTGTAAGCTCAATGATTTTACTAGGTGTTTGTGTTTTTTCAGGTTGTTACAGAATAATAACATAACAGGTACAATTCCTTCAGAACTAGGGAAGCTTTCAAAGTTGCAGACTTTAGATCTATCAAATAACCTGTTCAATGGCGAAATTCCTTCCTCTTTAGGCCACATGAGCAAGCTGCAATACTTGTAAGTGAGCATTTGTGATCTGATTTTAAGACACTGCATATTATCAGCAACACTTTTTTCCTGGTGTTGTGTGAAGCTTTTTACCATTGAAATGCTTGTTTTCTTTTCAGGAGGCTCAATAATAATAGTCTTTCTGGACAATGCCCAGAGTCACTGGCCAACATGACACAGCTTGCTTTTCTGTAATGTTTCATGGCTTCTTTGGAAATAAGTACAATTCTGCTACTTTTTTTCCCCTAATGATGGTTTCCTGTTTCATGACAAACATTTCAGTGATTTGTCCTACAACAATTTGAGTGATCCTGTGCCCAGAATTCTAGCCAAATCATTCAGGTACATGTCTCTTTATTTTTAGATTATGTTTCCCATAGCCTTTCCGGTTTAAGTGAGTCTTGTAAATGAAAAATTGAGTTGTAAGTACTGATTTATATTTCTGATGTCAGCGTTGTTGGGAATCCCCTCATCTGTGGTGTTGGGAAAGAAGAAACCTGCCATGGGATGACACTGATGCCTATGTCCATGAACTTGACCAATACAAAAGGTAACATATTTTAAGTATGCTATACATATAACCCTTCTAAAGTTTTATTGAAAACATATAGATTTTTCTTTTATCCTTAGAATTGATACAAATGTCTCTGAATTTTAAAATTGCGTATATTTTCTTTTTATTTTCAAAACCTTCACAAACTTAAACAAAGAATAAATTGCACAAACCACCCATTAGTTTTATCCATTTGATTTGGGTAAAACTTGAGGGAACTTGAGGTTAGCTTGCTCTTGACCATATTATTTGATTTGTGACATTCGGTGCTAATATTAATCTGTTTCCTTCCCCAGATGCTCAACCTTCTGAAAGACAAAAACCACACAAAGTGGCGATTGCCTTCGGTTTGAGCCTAGGATGTCTCTGTCTCATAGTTGTTTGTCTTGGACTATTTCTCTTGTGGAGGCATAAGCATAACCAGCAAGCATTCTTTGATGTCAAAGGTACAAATACAATACAATACAGCCTTCAAATGAAGCTTACAATGATATGATCACAGTACAAGATTGTCCCACACAAGCTAACACAACATATCTGATCTTGAGATGTTTCAGATCGTCATCATGAGGAAGTGTATCTAGGAAACTTGAAGAGGTTCCATTTCAGAGAACTTCAGATTGCTACAAACAACTTCAGCAACAAGAACATACTAGGAAAAGGCGGGTTTGGACACGTGTACAAGGGAGTGCTTCAAGATGGAACAGTGGTTGCAGTGAAGAGGCTTAGAGATGGGAATGCCATTGGTGGAGAAATACAGTTTCAGACAGAAGTTGAAATGATCAGCTTGGCAGTACACAGAAACCTTCTCAGACTCTATGGCTTCTGCATGACTCCCTCTGAAAGGCTTCTGGTTTACCCTTTCATGCCTAATGGCAGTGTTGCTTCTCGTCTCAAGGGTAAGCTCAATCATCAAACTTGTTTCGGGCAACAAATTTAACCGGTTTAGGATATTGCGAGTAGTAAAGACTCTAATCCCTTAAACAAGTAGCTGGAGGTTCGTTTCTCAACTTTATAAAACAAACTTAATTGGGATAGACCAATTCTTTGCCCTCGGTACCCTGAAAGAGATTAGTTTCATCTGTTGGCGGAAGATACTCCTGGTGTTTATTTAACTCCATTTCTGATAACCTATGTGAGATATGAAAATGGTGAATTCATTCATTGATGACAGGAAAACCGGTGTTGGATTGGGGTACAAGGAAGCAGATAGCTTTAGGAGCAGCAAGGGGATTGCTATACCTTCATGAACAGTGTGATCCAAAGATAATTCACAGGGATGTGAAAGCTGCAAACATACTGCTTGATGAGTACTATGAGGCAGTGGTTGGAGATTTTGGATTGGCAAAACTTTTGGATCATCAAGACTCTCATGTTACTACTGCTGTGAGGGGTACTGTGGGGCACATTGCCCCTGAGTACCTCTCCACAGGGCAGTCCTCTGAGAAGACTGATGTCTTTGGATTTGGTATTCTTCTTCTTGAGTTGATCACTGGACTTAGGGCTCTTGACTTTGGAAAAGCTGCCAATCAGAAAGGGGCCATGCTTGACTGGGTATGATTGCTTCACTCTAAACTTGGGATTGTAATGAAACTTTAAATCCCATAAGTTTGTCTTAGTTATTAATTTAGTCCCTCAAGTTTAATTTTTATTGATTTTGTCTCTTAAATTTGCTTCAGTTATTAATTTGGTACTTATTGTTTAAAGAGAAAGTAACACTGTTAAAATCTATTGACATGGATAAAGAAATATTGATAACAATCATGTAGATTTTAATAAAAATATATGTAATTATTTAGGTAGGAAAGAAAATAAACTCAGAAATTTTTAAAAACAAAAGAACAAAACACAGCATAAGATATTAGATTGATAAAAAATTAAATTGATTTAAAGGCTTATTTGTTCTCATTTAGCTACATATACATGCTAAGTTATCAATATACTTTACACATTGGATAATTTAAGAGTCAAATTGTATTTTAAAACTTAAAGGATTAACATGATAATTTTAAATATATATATATATAAAGGACCAACTAAATAAATAAAACAAACTAAACTTAAATGACTAAAAGTTTCATTATGTCTAAGATCTAGACTATCCAAATTTAATCAAGAAGGACAGTGGTCCAAGATTTAAAATGAGTATCATGTAGTCCAATTCCTTTGACAATTAAAAGAAGTGATAGTTCTTTTGCAGTGAATGATTATATCACAATACACAATAATCTTGATGTGGTGTGGCTCAGGTGAAGAAAATTCATCAAGAGAAGAAACTTGAACTGCTTGTGGACAAGGATTTGAAGAGCAACTATGACACAATAGAGCTAGAAGAAATGGTGAAAGTGGCGCTTCTGTGTACTCAATACCTTCCAGGACAGAGACCTAAGATGTCAGAAGTAGTGAGAATGCTTGAAGGAGATGGACTTGCAGAGAGATGGGAAGCTTCTCAGAGAGCTCATCATGACTCAAACACAAGCAAATCCAAACAACCCCATGAATTCTCTTCATCAGATCGCTATTCTGATCTCACTGATGACTCTTCTTTGTTAGTCCAAGACATGGAGCTTTCAGGTCCAAGGTGATTCATTGTGAACCTCTGTTGTATACAGCTTAGATTTCTCTCTTTATATATATACATACATATATATATATATATATATATGTTTTTCTAAGTTAAGAAATTGAAGTGTATGATTTTGAAGAGCCTATAATGATGCTTGAATCTATGTGCAAACCCACGTTGATTTTTGTTTTTTTAAATGTACAGAAATTTTTGTGGTGTAAAAAGTCAGAGGAATTGGTCTTTTCAGCACAACTTCTTGCGCTTATATATACAGTTGTTTTGACTTGCATTGTATGTTTTCTCTTTTTTGTTTTTTATTTAATGGAAATTAAACTGGATCAGATTTAACCATTGCTGGGCCAAAAGGAGAGTAGCTCTTCCAATTTTTTTTTTTTTTTTTACATTCATACAAACTCAAACCTAAGACCACATGTTTAAGGAGCTACATTTCGTTCCCCTAAGACCAGTAGCTGTTTATGTTTGTCTTCTCTTAATTATTTTTAGTGCTAAAACCATTAAAGATGAGTATTGAGAACATCAAAAGTGACTATTAAAAAAATAAAAAATTAAATTTCAATCAAGGATTAGGGTTCTTTTTTGAAATTTTAAAATTTCATGATCCTTAATTGTAATTAATATTCTTAGAGGGTTTTTAAATGTCATTTTTCCTTTTCTTTTTTTTCTTTTTTCTCTTTTGGAGAGACTTCTATCTATTGATGCGGGATGTTTTCAATATTTTATCTACAATTGAAATTTATAAATTTATAATTATTTAATCAATAATATAAACTCTTTTTTTTCAAAAGAAAAAAATTACTGAAAGTCTAACTGTCATTCATTCAATATTTAGGAAACTCCAATCATTTTCATAATCTTACTTACTATAGAACCAAAGTAGATCACTAGATCCCACCCTATTCAGAGCCGTTTGTATCGTGAGTTTCATGCATTGGGTTTTCCCATTAATTTATATGTATGTATGTAAAGAACCTGTCATCCACAGATGAAGAAAAGCTTGCTTGCATCATCATATAAAAAGAAGATAAATTAGTTCGGAAAAAAATCTTATATCCTATAACATGTGCTATATTTGTAAAAGCTTCTAAAAAAATTAAACCTACATTGAAGATGAATTTCGCTTAAGAAATTTTTATTAAACCTTCCATTAAGAATTACATGACAGTTTAATTAATTTATACTCTTAATAAATTAGTCAATGACATTTAAAATTACATATTCTAGGATGTTTCAATTAGAAAATGTTATTAATTACACTTTAAAAAAACCTAAAATGCTTTATATTTTTTACCATGATACTTCCAAAAAAAAAAGTTATCTTATAATACTGAAAGGAGGAAGTATATATTGAGAGGGTATATATTCAACAATTATTTGTTGTTAACTAAATGGACATCTAGAGAATTTCTAAGAAGAAAAGAAGAAATTCTATAATCTGCATCATGCAAAAAAAAAAAAGTTAAATTCTGGTGTTTAACAAAACAAAAATATATCCAACAATTTGTAGAACTCCCATATGTGGATTCCAGAACTTAATTTCAACACTTTTTTTTTAATAAAAAAACATTATGTTCCGCATCAAGTTGATAAGAATTTCCAAATTTCCAGGGGCAGTGGAAGGAGCAACACCAAAAATCAGATCTATGATTTGAGATTATAATTTAAAAATCAGATTCTGGTGTTATAATGGTTTAACGGTATACATGTGACTTTAAGGATCATAACTTTTTTAGGTTCTAATTAATTTGCATCTCAATTTTCAACTATATGTTAAGGTCAGGAATGAGCCACCTAGTTACCCTCTAGACCCTAATCTAATCTCTCAAATTCTTTTGGCATCATCTTTCTAAAAGTGTGATTTGTTTTTTTCGACCTCCCAAACCCACATTCTTAAAGTGAAGTTTGGTTTAAACTCAAACTGAAGTTTGGATCTCAAAAGTTAAGTCGGATCCAAACAATCTTGTTTGGATAAAAATTGTAGGAATGACTTTTGTCTCAAAATTAAGGTTAGGGTAGGAGTTGATTTTCTTTTCTTTGTTTTTTTTTTTTTTTGCTTTTCACTTTTTGTGCTCATTTATCCATTTATTTCAACTTTTTAGAATTTACAAATAATACTTCTTAATTATATATGGGCACTTTTTTAATTTTTAATTACAAAAACATAACTTTAGGTCCTTACACTTTATTCATGTAGGGATTTAAAATACTGAAAAATAAAAATACAGAAGTCTAAATATTAAAAAAATGTTAAAAAAGTGTAAAGATCTTAGAGGGACTTAAAATATAAAAAAAAGTGTAAAGACCTAAAATATTTAAAAAAAATATAGGAATCAATAGCAAAATGTGAATAAAGTGTAGAGATTTAAAATTATGTTTTATCTATTAAATTTTTTATTTAAAAAGATCAAATTTACATGTATATTATAAAATTTATGTAAACTTGTTTTTGAATTATATCATTAAAGCATGTTACGATTTATTAAACTGATTTTTTTAAGGAAAAAGTTTTCAAACATAAATTAAGTTACTTTAAATGACATTTACCTTAATGAACTTTAGTTTACACCCTTTAGTTTATGGAAACCTCATTGTTGCAAATTTTAATCCAAATATGCACACATAACACGTTTTTCTTTTAACTTTTTGAGAAGGATACTTATTTAAAATTTTGATTTTTCATGAGATCGGCTTTATAAGTAGTTTAAATCCTGCTTTCTTAAATTAAAATTCATTTTTTTAAAAAAATAAATACTAAATTGCGACAAACTTCTAATTACTAATTTTAAAGATATAATTTAAGATTGAAAAATAAAAGGAATAAATTTTAATCAAAACATATAAATTGTTTTTTTTTTTTGGGTTACGCGTTTGCACTATCTAAATTTATTCTTGTTCTTTCCGATTAATTCGTTGTACTTAGCATAAGCAGTTTATTAGAATATTCTTTTTTTAATTTTTTTATAGTCGATATCATAGTATAATATATATTTTTGCACACTCATTCTTATGCTTTTTTTTTTTTTTTTGCCAACGGACATTCGTATGCTTTTTTAACAAACATAAACATTTCAGATATATTACTAACATTTATAGTAGTAACGATAAATGTTACCAGTTATGAATTACCCGAGTGGATTACGGCTAAAATTTTTGTTATTCACATAGGAATATATTATTAATATAAATTTAACACAGCAATTTTGTTACTTTTAGTGATTTGATAGTAATTTAATTTACAACTCATGCTCCTATTTTTATAACAAGGGTATTTTAGTAAATCCATTTTAAAGAAACCTGGTCCTTGCCTGTCAAATTCATTCGGTATCTTGAAAGGAATTAAATTTTTTTGAAACGAAAAGCTAACCAAAATCAACATTTACTCAAATTTCTTAAAAAGTTGTGCTGCTCATTCAGCAAAATTTCTGTTAGAGTCATCCCCTTTCTAAAACTACTAAGGAAAATTAAGGATTTTGGTGTAAGAAATTAGACAATCAATTTTTATCAAACTTTTAGATAAACAAATAAATGAGCTGATTTTTTTGTTCACTAGGTTTCTGAAGACAACTTTAATATTATATTTACAATGACCCTCCTTTAGGCTAAAAAATCTTATGATTTCTTATGTGACATGATTTAGCTATTTTTCATACGGTTTTACAGCGGTAAAAAAAAAATTCTGGTCTTTACTCGAAATTTACAAAAGTTTTTATCCTTATATGGAATTAGTTCTATCTTCTTGGTCTACAAATGTCATTCCCCTTATATTTTTACAACTTCCTAGAGCTTTAACTTAAGCTAACTCTTTGACCTAAAAAAAAAAGAAAAAACCTTAAGCTAACCCAAAACTAAGATATAAAAATATTTTCAACGATCAAACACAGTTCTTGCTAACCATACGTGGCGCTTCAATAGAAACTCAAATGTACAACACTTGACCTACATAGTGTTTGGTTGACGTGGAAAAATAGAAATGAGAGAAAATTAAGACAAAAGAAAAACGTGGGATGATCAAGTTATAAGTATGTAGCTGTGTTAAATATTTATTAAGAAAGCTTTGCTGTCAATGTGATTTTACCTGACTCGGCCCCATAAATAATGGGTAATTGTATCAAAAAGAGAAAAGACAAAAACAAGTGAGTTATGTAATTTTCTCGACAAATATATATTAATGATATCATATTAAATCCAATGCATTTAAAGTTAGACAAAATATATTAGGAAATAGATTTCGATAATGAAGCTTTTAAACCTTCAAGTTTGTTTCTATCATCAATTAGGTTTTGAAAATTTAAGTTTTATCAATGAAATCTCTAAAGTTTTATTTTCTTATTTGATCTCACTGGACCGACAATTTTTTTCTGCAATCCATGAAAAGATTGTCATCCTTGAATCAAAGGTTTCATGACATGTATTTATGATTGTACTTTTTTTTTTAATATGAAGAGGTATGATTAATCCAAACAAGGATACAAGTAAATCAATTCACAAGTTGAGTCATATTCCTTTTATCATCCACCACCTCTTACCAAAAAGGTAGCAATTGATCAGAACAAGTAAATGGGCACACAATAATTAGCCTCTCTATGCATAAAGTTCAAAGAAACCAATCTAAAATGAAACATATTCCCTAGCATACTCAATGACGTCTCTGAAAGGGTGTTGTCTCACATCATTCCTGGTAAGCAGATTAATCGTCTCAGCACAATTACTGAACACTTGGATTTTTTGCAAATTTAAATGCTAGCACAATTTAAGGCCTTGAATTATACTAATAACCTCAATAATTGCAGGGAGAAATTGACCAACATGAGAGTTAAAATCGGCAATCCATTCTGCATTGTTATTTCAGATCATGCCTCCACACTTGGAAACGTCATCCTCATCATAAGAACCATCAATGTTTAGGTGTAGATCATTCCTAATAGATCTATACCACTTACATTATGAACATTGAGAGGATCTATATAAAGTATCCAAAGCATTCAAGAGCACATCCTAATCAGTCTTGGTTTTGTGTAAAATTGCCTCCTTCAAACATGTTCTCTCAGCATCATCATCAAAGAATTTAGATTTACATATAGTACATCAAATATCCAGCTTTCTTTGTCAGGTTCTATAGTATCCGGTCCTCACCCTCCAGGCTTTTGGAAGTGCTCCAGAGTTTGGGTTTGATGAGATCGTTCCACTTTTCCTCTGCAACCAGGCAATCTCTGAGCACATGCATAATGGTCTCCTTCTGCGATGAGCATCCTACGGGGCATTGGGCCTCATGTTGA